GAAACCAATGTTTAAAATCCTTAAACTTGCACTGCAGTTACAGATGGTGCTCAAAAGCCCCACATCCTGGGGACCTTGGGACAATTTCATGACCTTGCAGGGTTACTGCTTCAGCATAATGGTTTCAAGATAGTGCTAGGTTGTCTTTCCCTTCCGATCGCCATCAGGCGGATTCTTAAGGTCCCGTCTGCACCCCAACTCCCGTAAACCCACGAGGACACTTATTTATTCCGCAGTGCCCGGCAAAGAGCCTGCTACATGTTAAGTGCTTAACACGCGTTCTGGCTGAATCGAACAGCCCTTCCTGGCTCAAGCAAACCCTGTCCAGCACCAGAAGGTTTCAAAAGGCGTCAAGGACGCACAGCACAACTTAACCTTCCCCTAGACCTTGCCCTAGGTCCCCCCTCCCCCTCACTTTGTGCGCCCGGGTAAAGCCTCCACGATACTCGCCACCTGGCACGCAGTAGGAGCTCCCTAAGTGGGTATTAGCTGAGTGAATCCAAGACCAGCCCTGTAATCAGTTGGGACTAAAGTCTCAACCCCGAGGTCCCGGATGACCGCTCCTCGTGGCCCTCACTCCGCCCCACCCCGCCTCAGGAGACGTGGCGAGACCCTGCTGTCACCGCAGTCCCTTCGCGCGCCCTCCCCGGATCGGAGGCGCTTCCTGCAGCCCGGGCTTCCCGGGGCCTCCGCGGGACAGGAGGCCTGGCAGGCCCTGAGACCCTCGTCCAGCCCCACTCGCCTCCACTCGCTTCCGCCTCCCCCTGACCGAGCTCTTCCATTCCTCGCAACCCTCCCGGTCCTTCCGCAAGCTGCCATACCATTGCGGCTGCACGGCCCAGGCCGAGAGCCCCGCGACGCCCGCCCGAGAGAACATGGTGATACCGGCCCCGCTGAAGGTCGGTCAGACAGGCCTCACCGCGCAGGCGCGGGACCTTCTCAACGCGCCCTCCCACCCCGCTTTCTCCTTCAGTCTCGCTTACTCCCGCCAGACGGAGGGAAGCCTCGCGAGCGTTGGGGGGAGGCCCGCCTTCCGAGGCCCCACCTCCTTCCGGCTCGCGGCTGGTATTTGTCCCGCCCCCGCCCCAGTCAGCTTCATTCCGCTTCCGGTTGGCCGGGCGCTTCAGCAAAGTTGTGGCTACCGTGGTCGCGATGGGCAAGTCAGATTTCCTTACCCCTAAGGCCATCGCCAACAGGATCAAATCCAAGGGGCTTCAGAAGCTGCGCTGGTATTGCCAGATGTGCCAGAAGCAGTGCCGGGACGAGGTAAGCGGGCCTGGATGGGGCCCCAAGCGGGGCCCTGCTGGAAATCCAGGTTCAAGTCCCTGACGCTGGGGTGAGGGAGTGGAACTTCGGGTCCTTGTCGTGTGGGTTCTGCGCTGGGCGAGTCAGCTACTCAACTCGGTACCGCCAACCTGACCTGCAGCGTTTATCTAGGGGAACCAGTGATCTTTGACGCCTCATTCCTCCACGATATTCCGCCAAAAAGAAATGAAATAGGAGGCTTTGCAGCTCTCGTACACGGGATGCTACTCGAGCTGTCATAAAACGGGGCAGTTGAATGGTGCAGTGCCCGATGCTCGGGGAATGACCGTAACAGTCATCTCTGACTTGACGTGACTCCAGAGAAACAAGGTGATCGGGATTCACCCCTCTTTTCGGGATCAGATGAAAAAGGACAGCTAAGCTCTGGCACACTACTCATCTAACAAGCATTTATTGAGCGCCTACAGTGTGCCAGGCCCAGGATATTACTCCCTGTGGTGACGATCGTGGACTGGAGGCCAGACTGTCAGAATTCTGAATCCTAGCGGCGCCACTTGCTAGCTGTGTAGGCTTGGGCAAGTTACTCACATTCCCCCTGCCCGTTTGCTTATCTGTAAAGTGGGAATAAGAATTGTACCCACCGGGAAGATTGTGAGCTTTAAGTCAGTGAATTATGTGTACAGTGGCTCAAGGGGTCTCGGGGCAGATCTCGAAAAGGTTTGTATGCCGTCCAGCGGCGTTTGTACGTTTTCACATTAGTGAGGTGGATGACGAAGCCCCTTGAAGAATTGAGAGCAGGCTAGCGACAGGGTCGTATTTTTCCTCCGGAGATTGAATTGGATTGGGTCGGTGCAGCGGAACATTGGGTAATTGGAATAATCCACTCCAGTGTTTTCTGCAGGCGAGGGATGAGATGCTTAAGTAGGACTCACGTTGACTGACAGTGAAGCAGTTAACTCTTTTTTCATTTGTCTCCAGTTCCCCCCCCTTTTTAATGTTTATTTAGAGAGAGAGAGAGAGAGAGAGGGAGAAAGCGAGCACACAAGCAGGGGAGGGCAAAGACACACACACACACACACACGCACGGAATCCAAAGCAGGCTTCTGGCTCTGAGCTGTCAGCACAGAGCCCGACGTGGGGCTTGAACTCGTGAACGGCGAGATCATAACCTGAGCCAGACCTGAATTCTTAACCAACTGAGCCACCCAGGTGCCCCGTCAGTTTCTTTTTTTTTTTTTTTTTTAAGTTTTATTTATTTATTTTGAGAGAGAGAGAGAGAGAGAGAGAGAGAGAGCACACAAGCAGGGGAAGGGCAGAGAGAGAGGGAATCCCAAGCAGGCTCTGCACCATCAGCGTGGATCCTGATGCAGGGCTCTAACTCATAAACCATAAGATCATGACCTGAGCCAAAATCCGGAGTCAGATGCTTAACTGACTGAGCCATCCAGGCGCCCCTCCCGTTCTTTCTTTCTAACAGTCAAGGTGAAATTCTCACACAGAAAACTAGAGACAAATACCACGAACATTTGTATCTCCATTACCCGTATTGAACGTTTTAAGAAACTCGCCTAGCCTTACTTGTTTCAGAAATATTTTAAAGTCAGTTGCAAGCATCTAGGACATTTCATCTCTAAATACTTAAGTATGCTTCTCTAAGATATTTGGGTATTTTTCTACGTAGCCACAATATATGTCATCACACATAAAAAAAAGTAATAAAAATTGCTTTATGTCGTCTGACACACAGTCCATATTCACATTTTCATCACTTGTTCCCACAAACGCTTTTTAAAAGTTTTTTTTATTTCGGGACACCTGGGTGGCTCAGTCGGTTGAGCGTCTGACTTTGGCTCAGGTCATGATCTCACGGTCTGTGAGTTCGAGCCCCGCGTCAGGCTCTGTGCTGACAGCTCAGAGCCTGGAGCCTGCTTCGGATTCTGTGTCTCCCTCTCTCTCTGACCCTCCCCTGCTCACTCTCTGTCTCTGTCTCTCAAAAATGAATAAACGTTAAAAAAAAATTTAAAAACAATAAATAAAATCATGGAGCATAGGGGCGCCTGGGTGGCTCAGTCAGTTGAGCATCCAACTTCGGCTCAGGTCATGATCTCGCGGTCCGTGAGTTCGAGCCCCGCGTCGGGCTCTGTGCTGACAGCTCAGAGCCTGGAGCCTGCTTCGGATACTGCGTCTCCCTCTCTCTCTCTCTGCCCCTCCCCCGCTTGTACTCTTTCACTCTGTCTCTCTCAAAAATAAATAAACATTAAAAAAAATTTTTTTTAAAGTTTTTGTTAAAACCAAGACCCAATCAAAAGCCATGGATCGGATTTGTTATTAGGGCTTAAAAAAAATAAACTATTTTTTTTAGAGCAGTTTTAGCTTTACAGCAATGATGAGTGGAAGGTCCAGAGATCTGTACACACCCCATCCCCACATTTGTACAGTTTCCCCATTATCAGCATTTGGCAACAGACTAGTGCTTCACATCTTCACCACCAAAGCCTACAGTTGGCAGTGGGGTTCCCTCCTGATGTTGGACATTTCTCCGGTTTTGAACAAATGTGTGTAATGGCATATATCCATTATCATCTCACAGAGAAGAGTTTCATTGCCCTAAAAATGTGAGTAATTAGGGCTTTTGATCCTCTCTCATTCCTAAATGGAATATAGAATCCACTTCCCTCGCCCTTGCTCCCACCCCCTTGCGACTCCATTGTTTTTCTTTTTTTTCTAATTAATTATTTTTTTTAAAGTTTTATTTATTTTTGAGACAGGGAGAGACAGAGCATGAACAGGGGAGCGTCAGAGAGAGGGAGACACAGAATCCGAAACAGGCTCCAGGCTCTGAGGCTGTCAGCACAGGCAGAGCCCGACGAAGACTCGAACTCACGGGCCGCAGATCATGACCTGAGCTGATAACCGACCTTCGAACCGCCGAGCCCCATCTAATTAATTTTTTACTAGTATAGCTGTCACGCGTTACCCACGTTAGTTACAGTGGTTTCCTCTGCACAACGTAATTTATGCCGTTCGCTGTGCGTGTCACAAGTGAGGCTCCCACCTGTCACCCCGCAACACACTACCAATACCATACGTGCGATCAACTGTGCTGCGCAGTTCTCCTGTTATTCCGTCACCAGGGCCTCTCTCTGCCTCCCTTCTCTTCACGTGTTTGCCAGCCTCCTTAGCCTACAGCCGTCAGCTTATCCTCTGTGATTATAGGTCTGATTGTGTTTTTGTTTTTGTTTTGTATTTTTTTGAGAGAGAACGTGCGCGTGCATGCCTGCATGAGCCAGGGGAGGGCAGAGGGAGAGAGAGAATTTCTGATGTTTTATTTATTTATGAGAGAGAGACAGAGGGTGAGCAGGGGAGGGGCAGAGAGAGAGGGAGACACAGAATCCAGTGAGCTCCAGGCTCGAGCTGTCAGCTGGTGACATGGGGCTTCGAACCCCTGGTGGGTCCTCACCTGGGCAGTGGGATGCCAACTGACTCAGTAGCCTCCCGCCCCCCCCACCCGCCCCTGCCCGAGAGAAGGGCTAAGCAGCACTCCACTAGCGAGGCCAGTGCAGGGCTCCGCCTCAGGATGGCGAGATCACAACCTGAGCCCAAATCCAGAATCCGACACTCAACCGACTGAGCCACCCAGGAGCCCGTTACTCTTTTGTTTTGAAGGTTCCACATATAGGTGAAGTCATAGGAAATTTGTCTTTATCTGAGTTATTTCACTTCGCAAAACACCCTGAGGCCCATCCATATTGTGACAAATGGCAAGATCTCGGTCCTTTCCTGTAGGCTGAGTAATATTCCGTTGTGTGTGTCTTCTTTATCCGTTCATCTGTCAATGGACACTCGAGTTGGTATCTTTGCTAATTCAGTTGTTTTTCTGACGTTGACTCTCTACTGGGCCAGTAACTGCCCTGGAGCGTTCCCACTTTCTGATATGAAACAGTGAAGTTTTCTTGTGGTTGTCTTTGACCCTCCTTCTCTAACTTACAGTTCTATAAACTGGAACTTGGAGCTGAAGGCTTGATTTGGATCAGGTTAAATATTTTGGGGAAGACGACTTGATAGGTGGTCCGCGGGTTTCGTATCGCATCGCACAAGGAGGCCCGTAATGGCTGCTAGTGCTAAGATGACTGAGTGAAGAGGACGGTAATGTTAGAAAGGAATATTTTCCCTCTCGCAAGAGCGAGCAAATAGTAAGGAATACATCTAGTTTACCATCAACCTTTTCCTTCGGTGTTTTAGCATCCTTGCTTGAGTCTATTATTTCCTTAAGAGGTGCAAAGTGGTTATTTTTCTGTATTTCTCAGAATTTATTATTGGCTACCATTCTTATGTAAGGCTGAGCTCTTTCTCATCAACTGGAGCTGTTTGGTTATCCTCAAACACAGGTTGTATGGCAAAAGGAGGATAAATGCTTAACTCTTTTCCTTCAGTTACCGATTTCAGAGTAAGACACTTGTGGCGATTCTGTCCCGTTTGCTCTCAACTCTGCGCATCGACTCCCCTGCCTGGGAGGGTGGCGTGCAGGAGGAGAGGTTGACCCCTCCAAGTTCCCTTTCGTCTCCCTCTCTCTCAGTATTGGAAGATTGAGGGGAAGGAGGTCGGATCCAGAGTATTCCCCTCCTGCCCATCCACTCTCACGGGTTTCTAGAATTTACTGGCCTCATTTTGTTTTCATCTCAGTGATTGATTTTTAACCTACGGGAATTTGCACTGGTTTTGCATTCATGAGACCAACACCAAGTTTCCTTTTAGGTACTTGCGAGTGAGAGTAGTGCACGGGCGGTACACAGTTGAGGCGAGCATTGTTGTCGGTCGTCTGTGGGTGACTGAGGGTGAGGCAGCTAAGCGAGATGGGGTGTTGACATCAGGCCAGTGGCGTGAGACTAGACGGGGAGACGGGAGAGGCAGTGTTAGGGAGGCCGAGCGGACTTAGTGGTAAGTGGAGGCAGAGGTGGAGGAGGACTCCAGGATGCCTGGCCCCTGGCCTGGGTGACCGGGCGTGGGACAGAAGTGTTCACTGACACGGAGAACACGGCAGGAGAGGCCCAGTTTTCATCGCCGGTGCTGGTGGAGAATCAGCTGTAAATGTTAAGTCGCGTAGATACAAAGTCAAAACTTGTCATTTTTTTTATAGTCACCTGAAGAAGGTGCAGATTTAGTGTACTTAACACGAGGTTTCTGTAGTGTGCAGTTATCCCATGAGATTTAACATGACATTTCTGTAATATGCCATAATGTATTTTGGATAATGAAGTGAAGTAGAGAAAAGTGAGTGAAATTCACTAACGGCCCATTTTACTTGGTTACGTTTCCCCAACCACTTACATCACCCTACGTGTAGTGGATGTTCAATAAAATTGGGTAAATGGATTTAAAAAACAAAATCACTCTTCTGTTCCCATGCCCTGTCCTGTCTCTTAGTAACGTCGGCTTGCCACGAGCTTTCTGTCTCCTTAATCTCCTGGGATTATCCCTTGAGGGGCAGTGTTACATAACTCAACCTCATAAAAAATAAAAAACTTTTTTAAAAAAATGATAGTGTGCTTAAAGCTAGTGATTTTCTCTCTCTCTCTCTCTCTCTCTCTTTTTTTTTTTTTTTTTTTTTTTTTTTTTTGTTACAATTTATTATCAAAGAGGAGCTTTTTATGGTTAACTAAATACTTCTGTTTAGGGCCCATTATGATGACCTAAATCAGAACTTAACCACTACTTAATGTTTTGTAGAATGGCTTTAAGTGTCATTGTATGTCCGAATCTCACCAGAGACAACTACTGTTGGCTTCAGAAAATCCTCAGCAGTTTATGGATTACTTCTCCGAGTAAGTAACTTGAAGACATCCTTATCTCATAAGCTTTGTTGGGTTGGACATGTAGTACATATGCTTAAAAATGTGTATATCGGGAGCTCTGTCTGTTCCTTACACATTAACAGGATAGCTCTGCTATCTTGTGCTCAGGTTTTGTTTTCCTTTGACAATTTGTCACAGTGTGAAATTGTTACAGAAGTGTTTCTCACAATTCAGTCTTGCTCTCCAAACACAAAAAAACTCTCTTTCATTCTAACTCGGTTGTGGCTCAGAGCACGGCTGTGGAATCCGACTGCCTGCCTTTAAGCCCTGCAAACCCAGGCTTCTCCCTTCATGGGCTGCGTGACTCTCGCTGAAGCACTTACGTTTGTCTGTGCTTCTGTTTCCTCATCTGTAAAATGGGACTAAAACCAGCACCCTCTTCCAAGCGTTTTCTTTATTTCATAGAAAGATTAATGAGTTAATGGTTTTAAAGAGTTTAGAAAAGTATCGAGTACTTGATTAATATTAGCTATTAATTATTATTGCTATTAATATTTAGTCTTAAGTCTGTCTGTCTCTTTCTTTCCCAAGTTCTGGACCTTTTGGCCTTAGGACCCCTTTTCACCCTTAAAAATTATTGAAGAGCCTCGAAGAGCTTTTGTTTGTGATTGATATCGATATATTGATACTTGTGAGTTAGGGATTAAAAATGAAAAAAAAATGAAGCGTATTTATTATTTCACTTAAAATAATAATAAATCTAGAAGTGTTAGTAAGAAAATAAAATAATAAAAAAAATAAAAAAAATAAAATAATAATAAATCTATTAAGTGTTAAGATAAATAATTTTTTAATAAAAATTAACTATATATATTCCAAAACAAACAAAAACAATAGGAATAGCTTTGCTTCAGATTTTTACAAATCTCTTCAGGGTCTGACTACTAGGAGGCAGTTGGATTCTACAACCGCTTCTGTATTCAGTTGTCTGTTTCAACATGTTTTGGGTAAAGCACATAAAGAAAGGCCACCCTGTTCATAGATGGTTGGAACGTCTGGTTGGAACGGGGGGATACTTTAATAGCCTTTTTCAGATAATTTTGGATGTTCTTTGATGCGACATCAAAACACAACAACGTGGTAGTTTCTTCAAGATTAGCTGCAGCGTGGATTCTGGAACCGTGTCAGGGAACTTTTGTGTGCTATTACATTATGATCCCTCGATCTTTCACTTTAGATGGAGCTTGTCCCCACGCATGGTTTTATGTCATCATGCACTGGTCATTTGGAAAATATTGGTTCACTGAGTGTTCCGAATGGTGACACGTTTTGTTACGTAGTAGCATAAAGTCATACTTTTTAATGTTATCAGTGTCATCGGAAAGGTCCTTTAGTATTGGGAGGGACGTCAGACTCATGGTGGCCGAAGCCAGTTTACCAGATTCAATTTTTTGCCGGAAAGCTCACATTTTATCGTCGGCAACAAATGATAAACAAATGTCAGCTGTTTTTCCTTGACGTGACAAGGCTCACTTTGCTTATTTTTGACCAAATGTCTACGAAATACCCGATTTTGAATAACCGTAGTTGATCGGTCTGTCATCCTTTCAAGTAGCAGTGGTGCGCGGTGACAGCGGTAGTTCTGTGCGTGGCTCAGACCATCGCACGAGTGCTGCGCTCAAGACAAGCCCCAGGCGGCAGTGGAAGTGCTGCGTTCCCGAGCCTGTCCCGGCGCACAGGGTATGAGATGGAGCCCCGCAGGCTGAGATTTAGTGCTGTCCCACCGCCCCGTCAAGGACGTTCTTGGTGAAACCAGCATTGATTCTCACCGCGAGCGCGTGTCCATGAAGAATACTCTGGCTGCCTGTGCAGGCTGGCCTCGCCGCCCACTGCCCTGACTTGGCTAAGACGCCAGCAGGTGTCCCCTATGTGGCTTTTGTGCCATCAACGCAGGTAACACGGTGAAAAAGGCCAAAATTGTTTATCTGTGAACCACACGAAACCACCTCGATTACCACGGGGCTGCACGAGCCACATTTGGGGAAATATCATCCTGGCAAGAGCCGTCTACACTGGGCTTTTCCTCTCCGCCCCCTTTTACTGCATCCACGTAGCTGCCCAGTTTCCATCTTGCTCTTTATCTTTCTTCGGTGGATAACGCTCTTAACTACCCACAAACATCTCTCTGTTTTCCATTCTTTCCTGGCTTTCCTCCTCCTCCTCCTCCTCCTCCTCCTCCTCCTCCTCCTCCTCCTCCTGCTGCCTCCTTGCTTCCTTAGCCCTTCTTCCTTTCCTCCCAGCTCCTCCAATGCAGGAATGTTCCTCAGGGTGTCCGCTCGGCTTCCTTCAGTCCACATTACCCAGGCTCCAAGAGTTCTGTCATTCTTCCAGCTGTTCCCTTTGTGTTGGGTGACTCCTCAGTCTTACTGTTCATTCCTGATTATCTGTCCTAAGTTGTAGATTTTTTTTTTTTCCTGGGCAGTTGTAATCTATATTTCTGAAGGCTCTCCCGAAGCCACCATTTTAAAGCCAAGCACGGTACTGTGTCCACCACGCCTACCGTGTGCTGGCTGACAATACCTACTCGGAATGCTCAGCTGGGACTTCCCTGTTGTTGATTCTCCTCTACGGTGTCCTTTAAACTCACCTCCTCGCCATTCTCCCAGCCCTAGTCGTCATTCTCATCATGTGTCACCTAAATTAATTCCGTGACTTCCTCACTGATCTCCCGGCCGCAGCTTCTGTCCCTCCTGGCCGTGTTTTACGCCCATGGTTCACAAACCGCCACGTGCGTCACAATCACCGTGAGGGCTTGTGACGACAGTGGCAGATTCTGGTTCCGTAGATCTGGGCTGGGGCTGGAGACGTGCTGTTTCTATCAAGTTCCCAGGTAGTGTTGATGCTACTGTTGTAGGGACCACACTTGGAGAATTCTTGTTCTGTCTTCCCCAGGACTGTCTTACTAGATCACAGATTTTCACAGACTAACTCCTAAGTAAATTATTTGGTGCTTTGCCACTGCCTGCATAAAACCCACCCTCTTGAGCATGACATTCGAGGTACTTCAAAGATCAGCCCCGCCATTATTTTCCAGCTGTGTCCTCCACCCCCGCCCCGTTCTTCTGTTCTGTCCCACCATGTCCCTCCTTTCTGTCTACTCGCAACGTTAGCTCAGTGAGATCATCATTTCCCAGACGTGATGCTTCCGTGTTTCTCTGCCAGCTGGGAGTGGCCTTCTCTTCCTCTCCACCTATAAGGTCTGATGTCTACTTCCCCGCCCACGTTAAAGATCGCCAGCGGGCATCCCTCAACTCCGTGACATTGTGCTACATCTCTTTTGCAGTTCGCCTCGTGTTATGATTGGTTCCGCTAGATTGGAACCTGGGTCAAGATTTAGGTTTTATTCACCTGTGTTTACCCAGCACGTAACACAGTGTATTCCGTGCAGAGGGACACACTGAGTACCAATTTCACGTGGAATCAGGGAAGTTTTGTTATCGTCGGAAGAATGGTTTTATTATGCCACACGCAGTCACGCTAAGAGACTTCACGGAGGAACTCTTCTAGACCCGTGGAGTCACTTCTGCTGTGGTTGCTCCGCCAAGCCTGGAAGTCTCAACTCCAAACTGACCTGTAACTGAAATCCTCGAAAGCTGTAAACTTTCGGGATTCCTTTCCCTTTTCAGTTCTTGAGGGTTCCTAACAGGCAGTCACGTAGATGTGTCATATATCATTTGGGCATTCACACTGTATGGTGGCTTTGTATTTGTAGAATTACCTTAATGCTTTCCTTCCTTCCCTTACTAGGGAATTCCGAAATGACTTTCTAGAACTTCTCAGGAGACGCTTTGGTAAGCATCTGGGTATTATGCGCACAATAACTTCCTAATCCGGAAACCTGCTGCGGGTTGACGGTGTGCTGTTTTGTTCTCAGGCACTAAGAGAGTCCACAACAACATCGTGTACAATGAGTATATCAGCCACCGGGAGCACATCCACATGAATGCTACCCAGTGGGAGACTCTGACTGATTTTACCAAGTGGCTGGGCAGAGAAGGTGAGAATAAGACAGGATCTGAGCAGCTGTTGCGTGGCTCGGGGGCAGAGACAGAATTGTCACGGTTTCTGTGTACCTTTACGAAAAGAGGGCGAGCAGGGCAGTTAAAAACTGGCAGAGGGGAGCATAATCTTCCAGGACTGATTTTGTGTGTTCCACCCGAACGCGAGCATCTGGGACGGTTCTTTTGACAGGGCCCGGATTTATCACCAGCACATCCTCTCATGCGGGTTAAGGGTTATTACCAGTCCTCCCCCTCTTACGCCCCCGTATTCATTTTACTTTCTGAGGCTTTTGTTACCCCCGCGCAAGGAGCTTTTTAAAAATTTGCTGCAGGGGCGCCTGGGTGGCGTAGTCGGTTAAGCGTCCGACTTCAGCCAGGTCACGATCTCGCGCTCCGTGAGTTCGAGCCCCGCGTCGGGCTCTGGGCTGATGGCTCGGAGCCTGGAGCCTGTTTCCGATTCTGTGTCTCCCTCTCTCTCTGCCCCTCCCCCGTTCATGCTCTGTCTCTCTCTGTCCCAAAAATAAATAAACGTTGAAAAAAAAAAATTTAAAAATTTGCTGCAGCTTTTTCCATTTCTAATCTTCATAGGATGAACTTGGAGGGAGAGGGCAAGGAGCCGTGACATGTATCACATACTCACTGTGTTACTTGATTCCATTTTACGGGGCAAATTTCTATTAAGTTAGTAGAATATCATGTACTCGTCGGATGTTAAATACTTAGACACAGTTAAATAATTACTAAGCAAGATGATACTTTCTTGTATTTCCCTGGCGTACAGAGTTGACTTAGCCCAGGTAGTTAAAAATCAGAATGATAATTTTTTCTGTTCAAGGAGATAAAGTATCCCACTTAAAATATCTAAATGTTATCAACTGTGAGTATGGAAAATCCGTGGGCCGCATGAATTTGTGTATTTGAATGTGTTTGAATAGTGTATTTGAATGAATAAGTACATGACGCAGAGATGGAACGCATTTATATTTCCCTTTAGTTTTGGTTGTGTACGAGTTTACCTGTTATTTTTTTTTTTTTCTTTTTAAGGCTTGTGCAAGGTGGATGAGACGCCGAAGGGCTGGTATATTCAGTATATCGACAGGGACCCAGAAACTATCCGCCGGCAACTGGAACTGGAGAAAAAGAAGAAGCAGGACCTTGATGATGAAGAGAAGACAGCCAAGTTTATTGAAGAACAAGTGAGAAGAGGTCTGGAAGGGAAAGAACAGGTGGGCAGCAGTGTCATTCAGGGAGGCGATGGGAAAAGGTCTCAAGAAGCAAAATTTTTAAGCATCGAGTGGAGTTTGGCAGATGCTGTTCCTTACCGAACAGGAGAATGAGCACGACGGAGTCTAAAAGGCCAGCTTCTGGAGTCGAGGCCAGCCTGGGTCCCGTCTCTGACTTACTGACTCTTGATCTTATAGAATTCTATAGTTCTAAACCTCAGCTTCCTTATGGCTAAGGTGCAGGTGATAACTAATGGGGGAGACACAGCAGATGACATTACTCGGCCGTAATTAGCGCGATGCTGGAGTTAAACACAGTGTGGGAACCTGGGTGCCATCGCCTGCCCCAGCCTGGGCAGGATGTAGATTATTTGAATCAGGCAGATACAACCTGTGGGCCTGAAGAATCAACAGGCCGAACCCAGGTAAATGGGGAGACAGGGCATGGGGAAGGTGGTTCTGGCGTTAGAATAACTAGAGGAGGGCATTTATTTTAACAAATATTTATTGGGTACCCTCTGTGTGCCGGGCCTTCTTCTAGGTACTGGGGAGAGAGCAGTAAACAAAAGATAAAAACTCCCTGCCTCATGGTGCTTCCATACCAAAAGTTGTGTGTGTGTAGGAAAGCATAGCCTGTGACATAGGTGGCGCTCCTAGCCATTTAGTATTTTAAAAACTTTATTGTGTGGGGCGCCTGGGTGGCTCAGTCAGTTGAGCGTCCGACTTCGGCTCAGGTCATGATCTCGCGGTCTGTGGGTTTGAGCCCCGCGTCAGGCTCTGTGCTGGAGCCTGCTTCGGATTCTGTGTCTCCCTCTCTCTCTGCCCCTCCCCTGCTCATGCTCTGTCTCTCTCTCTCTCTCTCTCTCTCTCTCTCTGTCAAAAATAAACATTAAAAAAAAAAACTTTATTGTGGTATAAGATACATGTGCTAAAGTGTATGATGGGCATTAATCTTAAGGTTACAGCTTAGTGGAATTGTTACATATGGACGGATGGATGGATGGGTAGTAGATGGATGGATAGCTTATGAAATGACCACCCAGATCAAGATACGGAACATTTTCAGTGTCACACTCATTCCCAGTTAATATTGCCTGTTCCCCAGAAAGGAACCGGTGTTCTGATGTGCCAGTCTTAATTACTTGCCAGTTTGTTCTTGAACTTCGTCGAAGTTCATACGAACTTCGCCATACGGTACACTCTCTCTGTGTCTGGCTTCTTTAACTCAGACAGAATGTTCTTTATGTTTACTGCACCTGTGTCCTTTCCTACCAGTGTTTCACCCTTTTTAAAATTGATGTCTGTTCCATTTTATGAATATCACACAATTGATCCATTGTCCTGCTGAGAAACATGTAGCTTGTTTTCAGGATTTGGCTAGTATGAACACAGCTGCTCTGATCATTAACGTGCGTGTCTTATAGAAGCTGTTTATTACAGAGTGACGCAGGAAGGAAAAGGCAATAAGAAAGTAAAGATCCATTTATGAGTCAACTTTTATACCATGTTAATTGACCTTGATGAGTGGGTGGCTGTGCGTGTGTAATATGGTGCTGCTTTCATATGCATGTATTTACGCCATCTTTTAGGAGTTTTCTATATTAAAATAGAAACAATGTTTAAAGCCCTGTAGTTGTTAAATTTAACCCCTGCCTAAGATTGAAAAAACTTTTTATTCTTGAAATTCTTTTACCTTTTTAAAATTTAGACCTCTGAGGGCACCTGGGAGGCTCAGTCGGTTAAGCATCTGACTTTGGCCCAGATCATGATCCTGCGGTCCGTGAGCTTGAGCCCCCTGTCGGGCTCTGTGCTGACAGCTCAGAGCCTGCTTCAGATTCTATGCCTCCCTCTCTCTCTACCCGTCCCCCACTCATGCTCTGTCTCTCTCTGTCTCTGAAAAATGAATAAACATTAAAAAAATTAAAAAAAAAAAAACCCTTTAAACCTCTGGGGGCATCTGGGTGGCTTAGTCAGTTAAGCATGCGACTCTTCGTTTCGGCTCATGGCACGATCTCATGGTTTGCGAGTTTGAGCCTCACATTGGGCTCCGCGCTGACAGTGTGGAGTCTCCTTGGGATTCTCTCTCTCTGCTCCCTCCCTGCACTCTCTTTCTCTAAAAAACAAATCAACTTTAAAATAAAATGAAAATAAAATTTAAAGTTCTGTTTTCAGTGGAGGGAAAATTATAATTTCCTATTGTGGAAATTAAGAAGGATCACATCTTGTGCAGAGGAACATGGTTTACCTTTTGGAATAGCGTTGTTTTGTAACATTTTTGCTTAATTCCATTAAGACCTTCAAGTTAATTCATACTTTCCAGGTATAAATAGCATCTTCCAGTAAAAGAAGTCCTACTGATCAGTGCTTCCTCATTCCACACTTAAACATGTCAGTTTTTTTAAAAGTAACACTGTGTCTTTTGTAAGATGTTAATGGACATTGCCTAAGGAAAGAATATCTCAGTTAGATCTCAAGAACATTTTTTTTTAACGTTTTATTTATAAGAACATCTTTTCTGTTAGTAGAAACCACAGTTAACATTTAATCAAACACTCTTGCAGGCATGATGCTAAGTGTTTCCTTTATATCGTATTTAACCCTTATGATACCTCTGAATATGCACGTTATCCCTGTTTTAAAGATAGAATAGTTGAGGCATAAGAGAGATTGCGAGATTGGCAGGCGACAGAGCCAATACCGTGCAGAGGTGAGTTTTACCTGCACTTCTTCCTGAGTTCGTCTTAGACTCTCGATCTTAACAGTAAACCATCCCACAATATAGAAAGGTTTTGTTTTTTTAAGGTAATCCTCTAGCTAAAACTTTTAAAGTTTATTGTTTTATGTTGTTTCCATTTTAAATTGTAGCAGGAAGACAGATGTAGGTAAACTTCTGCAGTTTGGTCCAGAGAAGTCACTTTCTCCCCGCTTTGGAATAGTGCTCAGTGGAAGGATGTTTGCAGTACGTGTCATTTCTTGGCTAGGATCTTAATCACCTTGCACTTGTATTTGGAGCTGCCTTGCAACAATGGGTAGGAAGTCAGCACCTGGGCCTACTGAGTACTGATGGCAAATGCACTATAAACCAAAGCTTCACACTCTTTTTTTTTTTTTTCCTTTTAGGAGGCTCCTGTTTTTACGGAATTAAGCAGAGAAAATGATGAAGAAAAAGGTAGTTTTACTTTTTTTTTTCTTCTTCTAATATGGATGCTTTCCTATCGGCCCTGCCAAAAACTAGCAACAGGTTTGGGAGCAAGACCTGTACTGTGTCTGGATCGCGCTGTTCTCGCCCATATGTGAAAAAGTTGTAACGATGAACCGGGTAGGATGCCTTCAGCTACAAGTAAGAAAACTGACCAAAGGGAGCCTCAGTAGTAAGGAAATAGCTTGCTCTAACAAGAGTCCCAGGGGCAGGGTGGTTCCGGACGCCAGGCCATCGGTCAGCAGCGGGACACGAGGTAGCTGTGGGCACTTTCGGCCATTGTATGTAGACCCAGCATTGTCCAGAGGATGACAGAGGGCATCTCTTCTAGAGTCCCCTGTGAGCCAGGAAACTTTACCTAGAAGACACTCTTCCAGCCAGCAGACTTCCTTCAGAATGTCACTGGCCAGACCCTATCAGCCTCCACGTCAAAGGCAGTCTCTGGGAAAGGAAGCTGGATTATTTTGATTGTTTTAGAACAAAAGGACCTTATAAAGCCTCCCCCCCAACCCCTGCCCCTGCCCCCGCCCCCGCCTCCTAATCCCATCACTTTGAGCATTAGGTTTTCAACATGCAAATTTACAGAGGATACAGACACAGTGTGAGAAGTGTGAACACCTAAACAAAATTGGAGTCCTGTCCCCTTAGCAAGGGCAGAAGGGGACAGTGGAGGTGGAGAACAGCCAAGGCAGTCTTTCCCAGCTCTGAGCATCTGCCCAGTGCGCTTCTCTGCAGGAGTTTATCATCTCTGGATAGGAGCATTCCAGCTCTCGTTCATGCCGACCATCCGGGAACTTCTGTGTGGATGTGGTGTGGTATCTTATCTGAGAAGTGTTATAATTTCCCTGAAATATATACGTATATGTGTATAAATGAAGTGTGTGTGTGTGTGTGTAGGAAATGAAATGTGTAAAATACGTAAAAAACTATAGCACTATTTTTTCTTCCAGTTACATTCAATTTGAATAAAGGAGCATGTAGTTCAGCAGCAACATCATCCAAATCAAGGTGAGCTACGTGAATAGGTATCTTAGAACTCGAGGATTTCTGTGAAATGTTGATGACTACATTTTAAAAGCTGCAGTATTGTGGGTGTTTTTTTTTTTTTTTCTGGTTGTAATTTTCTTCTTCGTTTTGTTTTTGTTTGGTGGTTGTTGTGTTTTTCAGCAACTGTGTTTTCCCCTGATTTGCCTATGATGATATGATTCCCCCTTTTGAGGAAAGGCCTACTCTGATCACGTGCTTCCCATGACACATCTTTGTCTCTCTGGGAGTCCTTCTCCACTTAATAATTCCTTCTGTGCTACTGCGGTGCTATTTGGTTTTCTTTTTCCTTTTTTTCTTTTCTTTTGCTATTTGTTTTTCTATCAGAGCCCACGTCTCAAGTTTAAATATTAGCTGGAGTATACAGTTTTTGTTCTGTCTACCGTATTAAGATCTTGTGAGAATAGAGACGAAGTCATTCGCCTAACTTCTCAGCACCTAGTACAGTGTAAATGCCCTGGTCAGCACTCAGTGACGACTGCCTTCTGGGCTACGCGATGTAGTAACAGAATGGGGCTTGCCAGCTTTTTCTGGGAAAGGCCCTACAGTAAATAGTTTAGACATCATTGGCCATATGTCTTTGTCACAACCACTTAGCTGCTATCGGAGCGAGAAAGCAGCCAGAGACAATATGTAAACAAGCGATCGTGGCTGTATTCCAGTAAAATCTTATTTATAAACACAGGCAGCAGGCTGCATCTGCCCCTTAGGTTGTAGTTTGCCAAGTCCTGGAACAGCATGTAGTCAGGTACTTCTCACTTTTCACGTTCTCTTCTCTTGCAGTTCTTAGACATTCTTTCACCACATCTCTGTTCACTATCTGTGATGTGCAGTGTGTCCAGTTGTTTATGGAGATAAAAAAAAATAAAACAAGACATTCAGGAAGGCACCTCCTCCTGACACCTTCCCATTATCTACCAGAAATTAGTTTTGAGTTGGCCAATCTTTGTTATTTTACTTAGTATTTTACATATTGTTTATTGAAGACCTGACTCAGGTTTTCTGGTTAATTTATTAGGCGAGTGTTTATTTACACGACGAAGTAAGTGGCGAGGAGAGTTGAAGGAACTAGACAGACTGAGGGAGCATGTAATACTGCTTCAGAATGGCTGGCCGGAGGTCTTCACTTTGGTCAAAATATTTCAGGATTGACACCTACATTAGAGATCGTGAAGGAAGCGGTCAGCTGGGTTCTACACGTGGCACCCTTGAAAATTCTTTTCAGGGGCGCCTGGGTGGCGCAGTCGGTTAAGCGTCCGACTTCAGCCAGGTCACGATCTCGCGGTCCGTGAGTTCGAGCCCCGCGTCGGGCTCTGGGCTGACAGCTCAGAGCCTGGAGCCTGTTTCGGATTCTGTGTCTCCCTCTCTCTCTGCCCCTCCCCCGTTCATGCTCTGTCTCTCTCTGTCCCAAAAATAAATAAATGTTGAAAAAAAAAAATTTAAAAAAAAAAAAAAAAGAAAATTCTTTTCAAAGTAGTGGTCTGATAGGTCCCGGAAGACAGATTTAAATATGTCAGATCACACGTTGCCTTAAGGTTTTAGACCTATACGTGTTTCCCTGCAGTCTCCCTTATTATTTGTTATTCCCAAGTGTAGATAAATGTTAAACTTGGTCCCAGCGGCCCCCAAGCTGGTCTCTCTCGTATTAGTTTTCTGTGGCTGCTGTAAATGACCATAAACCAAGTGTCCTGAAACAACAGGAATTTATTCTGTTTCTGGAAGCCAGAAGCGTGAAGTCAGAATCGCCGGCCGAGATCAGGCCACGTGCCAGGCGGTGCTTCCTCCGCGGGCCCTGGCGGGAATCCGTCCTTTGCCTCTTCCGGCTTCCGCTGGCCGCTGCCATCCCTCGGCTTGTGGCTGCACCCTTCAGTTTTCAAGAGCAGTGTCTTCACATCTCTCTTTGCCCCACCTTCACACCATCTTCCCTGTGTGTCAAATCTGCCTGTTTCCCTCTTGAAAGGATGCATGTGTATAGAACCCATTCGGGCACCCCAGGATAGTCTCACCTCAGAATCTATAACCTGATCTAGTTTGCAAAGACCCTTTTCCCAGTAAGTTCGCATATATCAACTCCAGGGATGAGGACCGGTTATCTTTGGGGTCTGCTGTTTAGCCTCCTGTACCCCGACGCCAGGCTTTGATGTCATTATAAAAGTAGTTTTATTTGACCAAGTTCTGTGTGTTCAGTCTCAAGTATGTATACAAACGCGTAAGTGGTGTCACAGATGATACAATGTTAAGACTCATCTAAATTTCCTTTTTCTGAGATTATGGCCCATTTTTGTAGAGGTTGGGATTTATTTTCCTCTCGATTTATATCTCTTGTATAGCTAAAACTCAGAATGAATGAAGTGATCTAGATAGCAAAAATGGGTGTCTTAGGCTATACTGAGGCACGGAGGTAAGCTCTGCTCCTCCCGGCTTTGAACACCGGTTACTCGGTTCCCATTTCTGTTTTGGAGCTTCTCTTCTGTAATTGTGTTAGTTATTACTAACCGATGGCAGAATTCTAGGGCCCTTCTAGAAGCGAACATTCCATTCGCAATCTGCTACTGTTCATTTCTTGCCTTGATTTTAGCCCCATCTTCACTGTCTCGGTTTGTCACCTTCTACTAGAACCTTTTTGGGGGAGGAGGGGTGTTATTGTGAGAGCAGCTAGTGGGAAGATTGAATGTAGTACACGGCTGAAAAAAAATGGACTCTTGCCTTTTACTTCACTGTCATTGAGAGTGATATTTAATTTCCTATGCTTCTGGCGATGTTAAATTCTTAAAGTGATTTGTATAGGTTTTCTCTCTTGATTCTAAACAGTATTTTTAGGATAGGGATTATCACTTTCTTGAAAGCTTGGTAGAATACTGTGTTAGTGTCAGCAGGCGAGGGAATACCTTCTACTACTGGTTCGGTACTATTTAACACTTTTGTGACAGTCATTAGTTTATTCAACTTTGCAATATAATCTTGATCATACGAATTTCAATAATTTGCATCATTTTTATTTTTCTAGACTATCCTTTTTATCTAGCCTCTCAAATTTACTATCTGTTTTATTACTCTTTTAAAATACCAACTTTTTGGGGTGCCTGAGTGGCTCAGTCGGTGAAGTGTCCAACTCCTGATTTCTGCTCAGGTCATGATCTCAGTTCGTGAGATCAATCCCCTGTGCATTGGCTTGGGCTTGGGATTCTCTCTGTCCCTCTCTTTCTGACCCTCCCCTGCTCAGACGTGCCCTCTCTCGCTCTCTCTCTTTCAAAATAAATAAACATAAACAAACCCAACTTTTTATTTTCTTGATAATACAATTTCTCTGGTTTCTGTGTTAGTGATTTCTGTCCTTCATAATGTCTTCTGTCAACATTTCTTAAATTCTTCATCATTCATTTTAGCTCTAACAGAATCTTGATATTGCAAGCAGAAGGATCTAGATGTCAAGCCCTACCATGTCTTTCTCTCTCTTTTTTTTTTAATAAGCAATTAAAATTTTATTTTATTTATTTATTTATTTTTTTTAAGAAAGAGAAAACATGAAGGGGAGAGGGAGAGAGAGAAACATTTTTTTTTTTTAAGTTTATTTATTTTGAGAGAGAGTGGGCAGGGGAGGGGCAGTGAGAGGGAGAGAGAGAATTCTATGTCACTGTCAGCGCAGAGCCCAACGTGGGGCTTGAACCCACAGAGAGCTCATGACCTGAGCCAAAATCAAGAGTCAGATGCTTAACCCACTAGGCCACCCCGGTGCCCCAGAGAATCTTCAACAGGCTCCGTGCCCAGTGCAGAGCCCAACACAGGGCTCGATCCCATGACCCTGGGATCACAACCTGAGCCAAAATCAAGAGTTGGATGGTCGGGGCGCGCCTGGGTGGCTCAGTCGGTTGAGCGTCTGACTTCAGCTCAGGTCATGAGCTTGCAGGTCGTGAATTCGAGCCCCGTGTCGGGCTTTGTGCTGACAGCTCAGAGCCTGGAGCCTGTTTCGGAGTCTGTGTCTCTCTCTGTCTCTGCCCCGTCCTCGCTCGCTCTCTCTCTCTCAAAAATAAAGATTTGTTTTTAATTAAAAAAAAAAGTTGGACACTCAACTGACGGAGCCGCCCAGGTGCCCCTCTTTCTCTTATTAAAGACTCAGTATCTTTGGTCATCACCTGTGAGATAAATCGTCATTTTTTTCCATGCTCTTATGTGACCATTGTGATCTGGTACATCCCCCACCACTTGTACTCCAGCTCTGCTAAATTATTTGTGCCGTCCTAGACGAGCCGTGCTGGCTCACCCTGACTTTTCTCGGTGTCTGCTGTTCCCCCTTCCCGGGACACCCTTCCATGTCTGTTCTCCCACCTGTTATGAGATCCTGATGGGCTATTCTGTTCATCTTTTTATCCCCACTCCTTGTCACCTTGTAGACATCTACTAATGCCAAATAAATTGTCTTGACAGAAAACTCTTTTTTCTATTCAGGTTAGGTGTTTTTGTGTGACGAAATATATATAACATGATGTTTACCATTTTGACCATTTTTAAGTGCACGGGTCAGGGGCAGTAAATAGATTCACATTATGTCTGTGACCAGCATCCATCTACCAGACTTTTTCATCACCCCAAACTGAAACTGTACTCGTTAAACCCTAACTCCCCGTTTCCCTCTACCCCACCAGACCCCAGTGACCTCTGTTCTACTTTCTGTCTCTATGAACGTGACTGTTCTAATCTCCTCTTATGAGTGGAATCATACAGAGGTTGCCCTTCTGTGACTGGCTTCTTTCACTCACTCTAATGTCCTCAAGGTACATCCACATTATGGTCATGTGTCAGAATTTCCTTCCCTTTTAAGGCTCAATACTATCCTGTTGTCGTGTAGACCACATTTTGTTCGTCTCTTCATCGGCCATTGGACATTTTGAGTTATTCCCACCTTTTGGTGATCACAGATAATGCTGTTCTCAACATTGGTGCACAGATAGATGTTCGAGTCCGTTCTTTCAGTCCTTTGGGTATACACCCAGGAGTGGAGTCGCTGGACTGTAGGGTAGCACTGCGTTTGCTTTGTTTAAGAACTGCCTTGCTGTTTCCCGTAGCAGTTGCTCCAGTTGTGTATTTGCACCAACAATACACAAGGTTCCAGGGCACCCCGTCCTCACCAACACTCCTCTTTTCTGTATTTTTCTTACACAAGCCATCCTAAGAGATGGCAAGTGTTGTCTCACGTGCTCTGGATTTACGTTTCCCTGATGGTTAGTGTTGTGAAGCATCTTTTCGTGGACTTTTTGACCATTTATGTGTCTTCTTTGGAGAAATGCCTTTTGCTCACTTATTAATGGGGTTGTTTGTTTTCTATGCCGCTTAGTTTTAAGAAGAATATCTCAAGATTCCAAGTTGAGATGAATACCGAAATACCGAAATAATTTATCAATGTATTCGAGGACTCAGTGTTCATAAAATTTGGGGAATTATGGAGAATGTGAAAAGGGTCAGAAAGCAGAAACATAAGCACTGACTATAGAGGAAATAGGTGGTTTGTAAACATGTAATCACTAGACCCCCCCAATTACCACTTAAACCTCATTTCCCTTTTGCTAGGGTTATTAGCGCCTCTTATGTGGACACAGTGTGGTTGATTGTGATCTGGAATTAGTGCTAAGTTTCGTGGATTTCTAGCTAAAGGTACTTTTAAGTCTCAAGAAACTTTTTTGCTTCATTTTTAAAATATTCACTTTGAGAGAGAGCAAGCGCACGAGCAGGGGAGGGGCAGAGAGAGGGACACTGTCAGCGCAGAGCCTGACACGGGGCTCGAACTCACAAACCGTGGGATCGTGACCTGAGCCGAAATCAAGAGTCAGACGCTTAACCGACTGAGCCACCCAGGTGCCCCTAAAGAACCTTTCTTTAAGCAGCAAGTTGAAGCGTTTATCTTTATACGGACTTAATCTGTTGAGAACCAAATGTATGTTATGTACAATTGTCACAAACCTGGGAAATGTGTCCACGGACAGAATGAGAACTTAGAAATATATTCAGAGGATTGAGTTATGGGACAAAACCCAGCAAGTGACATTTCAAAAGGATAAATTGAAAACCTTCCAGTTAGGTAAAGAGAGAACATGAACTCCCACGAAGACCGAGTCAGGGGGTCCTGAACCGCAGAAGAGAAGTAGGGATCATAGTTGGCCCCAAGCTGAACAGGACTCGTTAGAGTAACCTGGCTGCCAGTAAGTCCAGTGCTGTCTTTAAATGCCTTAAAAAAAAGTCCAAAGAATAATTCAAGATTGTTTTTCTGTTGAGCACACTTTTCTCTTGGTTGTCCCCATAGGGGCTTCATGCACATATTTTCCTCTATTCGTCGTTTGCAGGTACGACAAACTAAATGATTAGGCTGACAAGATTCAGTTAGCAAATATTAACTGAGCATGTGTTTTATGTGAGTCGCTAGACGGTTACTGCTCCTTTACAACAAAAAATAAGTAAATACAAACATATACACCTGATTACACGTACAAATCACATATGCAAATGATCGTAATGCAAAGTGGAGTGTGATACATGCCACAGAGACAGCGAGATCCAAGAAGCCTCATGAAGAAAGGATCTTAACAGAATTGGGACAAATGGAGATAAATGGAGAGATCGTTCTTCGTATGAAAGAGGCACGTGTAAATCTGCAAAGGCATGAAACACGGCGTGGCTCAATCAATAACGAGTTGTTCAGAATGGCCAGTGTGTATAATAAGTTAGAGGTAGCATTCTTGGGCCAGTGGGGACAATTTTATATTGTGGTGCAAGTTTTAGAATTTACACTGTCAATTCTAGGCAGGCGGGAGCCATCAAAAATTAAGTGACCTGTTGAGATTTTTGCCTTCAGGAAATAGAACTGGCAGTAATATGCGAGACTTTACACACATCTTACTTAGTCCTTGCAGTTGAGCTATGAGTCAGGTCCCATTTTTATCCTCATTCGTAGATGAGGAACTCAGGTGTAGAAAGGTTCATCGCTCAGTCAGAAGCAGAAGTCTCCTTAAACCCTGATCTGCCCAACCCCAACCCCATCTGCCCGACCCCGTGGGATCTGCCCAACCCACGCTGCCACCACTCGGCCGTGCTGATCACCGTTGGCGCCCAGAGAAGGGGTGAGGGGGAGGAGGGCACTACGGCGGGAGAGGTCGCGTGTTCTCGCGCTCACAGTCCTGTAAGGCATAGAGACAGGTCCTTTATTGTTTCGACTGACCCGTTGTAAATGAATCGAGTAACAAGTCTTTCCTGTGTTGTTCTTCTGCACGTTGGAAAGCCTTCTGTGCATAGTGTCTGTTAACAGGTATGGCTCTTCTTTTCGCCAGCTCCTTGGGACCGAGCGCGTTGAAGACAGTCGGGAATGCGCCATCAGTTAAGCGAAAAGAATCTTCCCAGAGCACAGCTCGATCAAAAGAAAAGAAAAAAAAGAAATCAGCACTCGATGAAATCATGGAGGTATAGTTTACCAGCCGCGTGTCGACTTTTCAGCTGTTAGAGGAATGACGTAGTTCAGAGTGAGGAAGGTTAGGTAGTTTTGCCGGTTCTTAGATTAATGAAAGTCAAAAGATGTGTAGACACTGGGTTAGGGGAGGGGTGTAGATCAGATGGGACTAAAGGAGTTGGAAACCCCCCATCAGAGTTTATTTTCTCGCTTCAAGTGCTGCCTTCAGAACTCTCCGTGTGTTCACGGTCAGTGGAGTTCAGGCAGAAGGGCTGTGGCGGGGTCGAGAGCAGGGAGGAGCAGCTCTGTTTACCTTCCGTGGCTCAGTGAGACTGGCATCCTCCATG